ATACATTTTATTGTGTCACTTAAGTTTCAATAGAAGTGTTTAAATGCAGCTTCAAGCTGAAAACCTTACTTTCGTGTTTTTTGGAGTGAAGTAACCTTTTTTACGCTCTTTGGTATGAAATGGAAAACTGATGAAGACCAAGAGGGAAATTGTGACTGACAGAATGGCCCTGTGGACTAGTTACTGACCAAATGGAGAAACAGAGAAACCACGGGCTGCAATCCGTGACTGAACATGTGTGTGGGTGTCAAGCAATAACACTAATGGCATTCAATATTGTAGCCCACCAGACCTTAATGTCCTCAAACTGCCCTTGAAGTGATGTCCACTGTATGTGTCTAATTATTTCCCAAACATGTCGGATTACATCACTCTAAATGTCAATATTGATGTAGCCAAATTTGTAATTGGTTCCAAAAGTTCTGGTTACTTCTGCAGAAACGTATTGCTTTTTTGAAATGATGGTGACTGAAGCTCTGACATATACATGCTGAATGATCAACAGGGGGCAGATTTATAGCAAGACAACAAGGAAGTGTTTTGAAAAGTTTGTTTGAATTCACTTAAGTACAGTGTTTTGGTTTCCAACAGGCAGATGAGGTTGTTCAACAGTAAGTCTGCATCAAGCCTTAGTTTTGTGAATTAAGATGTTTTGTGCTTGATACAGCCATATTAGCTTCTAGGTGAAATGTATTAACTGAAAAACAATCTTCTCTGGCTTCACTAAAATTATTCTAACAATCTCACAAATAGAAGTTGGTATGACAGCTTCAACTGATCCCTATCAGTAATGTTGTGGCACTGTATAGGTAACTAACCTTTGGACAGACAAGGCATTCCTGCACTGTAAACTCAGATGTATGCACTACTCTATACTGCAGAGAGCAAATAAATAAACAAAGCTATAGGAAACAAATAAAAATGTGCCAGCTGGGTAAACTGGAATCCGGTCTGTGTGGCTGAGCCTACTGAACTATTTCTCTGCTTGTAATGTTGTGTTTGAAGAGTAAGCTTATACTAACTTTTCCCTAATGATGGTCCGGGAAACAAAATGGGTCACTGGCATGTTTCATTAGATCCCCACATGCCAAGAATACTAATATGCTTTAATGAGTGAATGTTCCAGACTCACTCAGTATTTGCTCAGTTTGGCTCCAGGCTACAGAAGTTTTTAAATCCCCGCTCTAGCAATGTTGGACACACAGTAAGTTCAGTTATGCAACAATTAATCACACCAGACCATCAACTGGTTGACATTATAAAAAAGGGTGAAAAGGTTATATTGTAATATCGGCCCAATTGGTGTATTATATTTTCCTTAATCCAATGTTTTAGTGTTGTATGAGGCCTGTATGCTGGTCTTTCTGTTTGTAGCTATATTGCTCTCTGCTGGCCATGTTGTATAATGCTACAAAGAAACTAATATTGTTTGGTAGGTTTTCCTTTAATTAGATGTTAAATGTTTGATAGAAAATGCTTTTGAATGAAAAAATCAGTAGAAAGAAATTGAACATTAGTATGTGTTCTCTCTTTAATTTTCTCCAAACATATTGGTTTGTATTTCAGCATCAATGTGAGTCGCGGCTGTCAGAAATAGAGGTGGTCCATGAGCCAAAATGACTAATGCTGGCACAGGTCTAACCCTTTTTTAAGCACTGAAGCCATTCTAGTACCGACGCACACTACATGGATATCACTTGCTATGTTTGTCAAATAATTATGTCCTTCGAAGAATTTACTCTGATCAAAACAAAACAAAAATGTGACAGGAAAGTAGAATAATGAGTAGTTCAATACTCTTCTTATTATCTTTCCTTCTTTGTTCCTCTCACCGCTCCTCTAGACTGTCAACCTTCCTGGGTGGTTTGTTAGTGTGCTCAGCTCACAAACTGTATGCATGTGTGTTTATTTAGTCTGTATAGGGGAACAGAGCCATGGCCTCTGCCAATTTTCTATACACTGAGAAAATATGCTTTTGGACAGATGGAAAAAGGGGAGGAGTTAAACAGACTCAGGGCCAACAGATACAAGACCCCTTCTTCCTCCAATCAACCACGACAACTACCCACCCTCCAGACTGAGAAACAGGCACTTCAAGATTGTGCTTTCCATGACTGTAATGTCCACACAGCATGGTGGAGCACTAGCAGTGAGGTTCAGTGTACAGATCAGCTGAAATGGATGATTATAATCTGTGACCTGGCCTTCGCGTTGTGATAAAATAAAAACCACCAGAATACTCAGATGTGATATTGATTTACCAGAGACAGACATTCACATGGAAACACTTAAATGACTAACTTGAAACCAATACAAATATCATGAGTAATTACATTAATTCAAATACCATAGAGGTTCAAAGTATCATAACAACATGTAAGGAGGCAGACACCCACAGCTGTTTAATTTCCCTCTTTGTAGACTATAATTTAAAACGGGAAGTTTGAGTTTTACTCCTAGATAGCATTAGATGATTTCAAAGAAAGATCTAAAAGTGAAAAACATTATATTAAAAGCTTGGCAAGGGATGTGTTACTTTGACAACAATTGAGAAAATGTTCACATGTTATTTGTAATTATCAAATGTTCACCCCAAATTGCTCCTGTGGGGATTGCTCACAGTATTGAGTATGTAAGTTGCTTTGGATAAAAGCGTCTAACAAGTAACATGTAAAGTAATGTCGTAGTAAAAGTACAAAGGTATCAGAATCAAAATATATTTAAGGTAACAAAAGTAAAAGCACTGATGCAGATCAGTCCATTCCAGAATAATATACATTGTATGTTTTGATTATAATTATTGATGCATTAATGTGTTTATCAAAGCTGGTAAAGGTGCAGCTAGTTTTAATTACTTTGTATGCTGCAGGGTAGCTTGTGAATTTACTCCAGGTGGAACTAAAATTGTATTTTAGTTTTGATTATTTCACATCATTAATCCAAATCTGTAAAGTAAATAAATATTATTTAATAAATGTAGTGGAGTACACAATTGAACTCTGAATTGAAGTGGAATACAAATGCCAAGTAGCAAAACATTTAAATTCTCAAGTATAATTATCTCATCTACTTGAGTAAATGTACTTACTTCCCACCGCTGGATGAGATCAGGCTAAGATCACTCCTTTATAACGATATTTTAATTATTTGAGGTAAATGCTGAAGGTTTACTTTGATCAGGCGCACATATGGTGTCATTTCAAACATTACAATTAATGTCATAATAGAGCTGACACACATGTAAAAAAACAAACAAGCCGACAGGTCCAAGTACACACACAGAAGTAAAAAAACGTGTATAGCCTTCTTCATCCACTCAAGGCCACTGAGGAAGTGTTTAGCCTCAAACTGAAGCTGTGAGAGTGGACGGACTAACTGACTGACTGGAGGGGAGGAAAAATGGGGGAGGAGCACTTGGAGAGGAGGGTGTAGGAGTTTGGGGGATGTGAGGAAAAGAAGGAGGAGGGGAATACCACCCACTAAGCCAGTTGTGGAGAAGTTCTGGGGGTTGGGCTGCTCACAGGAAACAGTTGTGGCTCCATCCCAGGCCTCACACCGAGCAGCCCTGGGCCACCCAGTCATCCACAGACAGACCTACCAAATGGCCTGGCTGAGCCAAACCGACAGGGATTTGTTTATTTTTCATCCTTTGGTGGGGGGGAAAATTGTTCAGCACAAGCTGTTTATTAGACCTTTGATTTGTCATGTGTCAGCGTTCGCTTGCGGGGAATGTGTATACATAAGTCCAGCTTGTGTATAGTTAGAAGGTTTGGAGGCTGAGTGGGTGTGGGCACTGAGGAGTGGGGGGCAAAAAGAAAAGAGGAAAATGGGAAGCCTCCCACGCTGAAGGCAAATCTGAACTGCATTATGGGTCATTCTCCAGCTGTCCCTGATTGTTGATGTCATGATGGGGGACTGATCTGCTGTGCCTGGTTTGCAATGGGTGTGGGAAGAGAGTGAGCATGTGGACAAACACAGGAATCCTGTGGTCACATGGATGAAATGCAGTAGGCTAAATAAATCAGTGTTTAGGGGAATGTAATGGCCATAACTGTGGACTGATCAGGAAGCAGCAGAGTGTTACTGTGTAAATGACTGACCGATTTCCAACATTGTCCTCAGTGACAATCAGTGAAAACAGATTGATTTCTGATGGGCCTAAAAATAAACCTATACAATGTGTATGCCTACTGTAGTTTGTATGAGGATTAAAAGTAACAACAATTAATGGATTCAAATGGAGGAGATTAAATCATAATGTGAAATTAAAATAAGAGGGATAAAACACGTGTGAAATAAAAAAAAAAGAGTAATACATTTTCAAACGATTTGATTAATGTGTAAGTTTGTTTGATTAAAGTTTATTTAACATTTTTAATAATATATACTTAATCAATCAAAACACATCATTGACTGTTTTAATGAAAAATCTTTGAAAATAAATTGCAAGTAATTGGAATACTCATCATTAATATTAAAAATAATTCCTTTGTGAATACAAATTAGATTGGTTTGAATATTGTATATAAAACAGTGTTGCTTGCTCGTATTATCAATAGGATATTGACAACAGCACTAACTGATATGTATCGTTTACACAAAATATCAATCAAAAGCCATGAACCATGAGTAAAAAAAACTGTTTAGGATAAACTATAAATGTCACTTTGGTTTTGCAAATGATGAATTGTTGACAGAAGACAGTAACACAGACGAGTTGATATCAGAGAGACATTGTTTCAAATAGAAGGTCAAATGTAAAACTCAATCATTCAATTTACATTTTTAATCACCTCCAGATTTAGTTACTTCCACCCCTCAAAAGTTTGCATTGAAGGTGGAGATCAAGAAACTTTCAATTTGTGATTTTCTTGTTCCATTTCATTGCAGATGTCATTCCTTACTAGTCCAGGTGGTGGCAGTATAACGCCAATTTGGATTTTGAGTTTAAAATAATACAGCCATAGAAGAAGAGCGACGACCAATCAGCTAACAAATACCCGAAAATAACACCAGTTTGAAAGTTTGGCGGCGTTGACCAAGCGTTGACGATTTAGGTAAGAATCTTTTTTACGTTTGTTGGTAATATAAGATAAACGAACGAATTAATAAAGACAGTACTATCATCGAATATTACCGTATGGGGTGGTATGCATTCATTTGTCGAAGACTGTAGTTTTGCAGTGATTTCTACATACCTGCTAGGTAGCATCAGTTAGCTAATTTCTCAAAAGCTAACGTTACTTGCACTCTGATTTCTCTGCACAGAAAAAGGAGCTAAAATGGATACCAGCCTGTCCAGACTTCTTGTTGGACTCTCTGTAAAAATCGTCCGCAGCGATGGTGAGCTGCTGTTGTTTTAAAAATAAACTTTTACCATACTATTTTTACCCAAATAATAACGCTGTATGTTGTTAACAAAGCTTGACGGTGACGTTTTTATGTTTAAAACAGGCCGAGTGCATCTGGCAACGGTGAAGTCTGCGGATAGTGTCAAGCACGTAGTAATGGTTGAATGGAATGAAAGAAATATATGCAGAGGAAAGGAGGTGAGTAATCCCAGAAAACACAGAATGTGTAATAATGGGAACCCGTCAGAGTATCTGGAAAACAATCTGTTGGATGTGCAAATAAAAAAAGTAATTCTATATAATGACATAACATAATTTGATTATAGACGTGCAGGGACAGATCTAGACACATTCACGGGGTGGCAGGAGATTTTGAGGGGTGGCATCCCCTGGCAGAAGTATGCTGATTTAATCGCAGTCATATCAATCAATGTTAACTTGGAAAGCCACAATATTGATATGTTAACTCAATAACATTAGCAGGGCTCTCGACTAAGTTTTTTCACCATCCTCCCGGAACCGTCCCGAAATACAATCTAAGCCGTCCCGAAATTAATGTGGACCGTCCCGAATTTAAAATATTAGTTTTTCTACATTATCATTAGTTAAAATCATTCAAAGTGACCTTTAACATAAATAAAACATCATACAAATCATTAGATGATAATTCATTTACCTTTTTATTTGAGTAAATCAGTCAATCACATGAACAAAGGCCAAATATATTTAAACAAATGAGAAAATTACTCTAATATTGAATCAAATCAAGTCCCATCCAATTAACACAAAAATCCAACACTCTGTCCTGAAGACAGAACCCAGAGTAACCACTAACCAGGATGACAGTCTGTAACACAGTCAGGAGACCTTTACAAACTGCCCCGCCCCCTCGCACACAGACGGGAGAGAGAGATCTCGTCTGGATTGGAAAGCTCGAAAATACATCATAGACGCATGTTGTAGTCTTATTGCTTATTAGAAACGGAGTTGGCTAAACTAAAACTGCGATATAATGTTTATGTAGCAATAATACATATGACATATATTTGTGTGTGTGTAGGCCTGTCACGATAATTAATTGTGTTGGACGATAAATTTTTTCTGGCCAATTATTGCGATAAACGATAATATTGTCGCCACCGTTTTAAGACCTTTTTAGAGCATAATGGATAACTAATAATAAATAATTACAGTACATCCTTTCAAACATAAACTTTTTATTTGAACATGTAACATCTGCAGAATGAAATGTGAAAATAAGATTAAATAATAAATGGAATCATATAATAAATTAAAACAATATTAATTAAAGTTTTATAATATTTCAATTAAATCACACACAACCAAAACAATAAATTAATAGTCAGGTGGAAACACAGAGCGTCTCTCTCTCTCTGCATCCTATAGGTATATATAACGAGTACCTAGTAGTTATAAATAAATAAATAAATGTGACCCAGCACATTATCTCACAAGCCAAAAAAACTCCTCTAAAACAACAGATCAAGGTGTACAGTCACTGTCAAAGACCCAAGGGATGCGCCTCAACATTTTTGCCCATATCCAAATCTGTTTTTTCTAAAGTTTTCGAGCAAGGAACACCAAATGTTGCATTGCCGGGCGCGGTTCTCCATTCCAGGGCCGCCCGTGTTTTGCCTTCCCAGCTGGGAAAACGGAATGCGAGTGGTTTGTGTTTTAGGTGGTTTAAAACGCCGAGGTCGTGTGTATGTGCCTGCTTTGTCGCCTACCTTTTTTTTAAACCAATGCGACACACCGCCCCCCGCTGGCCTCATTCAAGCTCCGTAGGCTTTCGCGCCGCCTGCTCTTGATTTGGCTTTGAATCCAAAATACTGCCCAGCACGCGTTTGAGGAATCGAGGATGTGGTAGGTTCTTGCTAACCAATTCCACCCGGCTCATTTAATCATTCCTGCCGCGAGTAATGTCACACTTTGTTCTCCGATTGCTCGCTATATTACGTTTAATTTGGCTCCTACGGCTGCTGCTACTGTGCGACGCGGAGTGTCCCTGACCTGGCTGTGTGCTCAGGCCCCGCCCCCTCACAGGCGGCGCTCTGGCCACGCCATCGAGCGCCTCCAGGCTAAAATGTCTGGTCACTCTTCTATAGCTAAACGGCAAGTTTACGAGCTCAGAAAAGTTATTCAAGTCCAATCTTTGGTATTATCGGTCTGTCTGGGTCGCTATTGAAAGTAAAATTTATCGTATTATCGCGACAGGCCTTATGTGTGTGTGCATATTTCGCGGTTGCTAAATGTTTTTGTGCCGGTGTGCTTTGATGCGTCTTGACAAGGGAGGTTTAATAAACTGTGCTACACAAAAGAGTGTAGTCGTTATCATTTCATCGCCGTTTTTGTATAGATGTTAGCCAGGGTATTTGTTTTTTAACTCTCGTACCCAATTCAGGGCAACGCCCCCCCCCCCCCAAATTATTTTTTTGTATCCTCCCCGACACTATTTTTTTCGACGACGGGACGTCCTTAAAGAGCCATCTTGCCAGTTGTTTTATTTTTCGTAAATGTATGCTTAACACTTGCTTGAAATATTACAATTAAAAAGTGAAATGCGTTGATATGTTTACGGAGAGTAAAGGGCAGGAATTCAGAGAGGGAAAGGAGCAATTTCGGGAGCTGCTGCTCTTAAAAGCGGCTTTTTTTAATGGGGCATGATTCAAACGCGTCATTTTACATCCACACAGCGGACACGCTCTCCGCCTCTCTGACCGCGGGGTATAGTAGAGTGTGCGTTGAGGTAGAGCGGGTTTGTGTTTTAAGGAGGCTGCGTATTTTTCGTAGTTTTACATTGCATTTCACCATTTGCTAATCATGGTGACAGTATTGTGTTTGTGCCCGGTTCTCTTCTAAATACCAGGGCCTGTCAGGACATCGAGTCCACAGTAAAAAGACCTCGGCTAGCGTTACGTTCGCCTGGCTGCTTTGCTGCCATCCAACCCCTGCCAGCACATACTCTCCACAGCTTTATCAGGAAACGCGTATTACATCTCTTCCCCCTTCGCGTGTCTCTCTCTCCCTCCGGCGTACACGGCACCGTTAAGACATTAGTGTGGAGTTGCATTACGGTACGCCTGTGGTGGTTGTACTGCTCCAGCGGTCTCTTTGTGTTTGTTTGTTGTGCCCCTGTCTGTGTGTTTGTGTTGTGCCGTGGTGGCTTGTCACTCCTGGCTCCCGCGAGTCAACCTCCACTCCATCCTTCTGCAATCAGCTGCTGCCACCCTCCCCGACTATCACACCTGGCCTTTCCATCAAAGCCTTTTACAGACGACTATCACACGGGAGGCTCCACAACCTTTCGTCCAATATCAGGCCGCTTTCTCGCGGTCTCTCCTCGGATACACAGCACCGTAGCCTTGGACTGCATAGGTAACGCCTGAGCATACGGCTGCATGCTTGCGCATTGAGATTTACGCTGTTATGGATCAGCTATCAACAGTCCGTGCGCGAGTAACGCTTACCTAATATTATCAATGCCTCACGTTGAGTTATAGCCTGGCATATTGGGATGGATAGCGTAACTTCACAATGTTGTGATGTGCGTTAGCTAACATTCTGCTGGCTAACGCGCGTCACTCACCAAGATAGCTGCCAGTTCTCCCTCTCCATGTGTATCCTCGACACCACCAGCTCACAATTTCTCTCCGATGGCCGCATTTCTTCTAATCCTTGCCTGCTCTGCGGTCTCTTGGGACGGCCTCAGCCAGCCTCATACATTAGTAAGGTTGGTGGTCCGTCATATGCCCATTTGAAGTTTCAATGTTCAACTTCTTCTGTGTCTTCTGCTGCTCGAAACTAGACCATTGGGATCCATGTTTGCGGTATACGTTTAACCGGTACCGCGGATCTCTGCCCCTTGTGTCCCCCGTGTTACGTCACACGCGGGAGGTCACGTGCCGAGGTTTTTCTATCGGAAAGTGAACATTTCTTTACAAAACGACGCCGATGTGCACTCTAGTGTATATTTCTGTACTATTTTTTTGAATAATCTAGTGGATTCATCATGTTTTCCTGACACATTTATTCACAGGTGTCTTTACGTGGAAGTGGCTCTTTAGCTCGGGGCCCTGAATCATTAGGTGACATTGTTGTGGCCGATCAATAAAAGCCTACAGGGAAAGTCAGGTAGTATCAAACATGTGAATTCATGAAGTGAACAAACACAGTGTACGAAGAACCTGAA